CTATCTATCTATCTACCCTGTTGCTGTCTCAGGCCTGCAACGAGACACGCGCACTTTATTACTTCCATTAACTTCTTCGATAATTGTACCCTTTATATTCCACTTTTACGTTCCACTGAATTACTTTTTTCTCCCTCTCTCCCACCAGTAGCTTTCGTCGAGGTAGAGGACTCGACCTGCTTACCCAGGACAGCAGGTCGTTCCGAAAGTCCTAGTTGATGCCGATATAAGGATTATGAGTTCCACAAATTAGACGCCTTCCGAATGAAACCTGAGTCCCGCAGAAAAAGCGTGCAAGGAATTTTTTGGCATTCAAAGACGATTAGAACACCTCATCGAAAAAACCATTCATTCTTTCTACAGCGTTTGTTCGCCCGAGCCTGGAGTACCGGTAAGGATACTGACCTCATACTTTATCAGTGCTATGATTGTCAATCAACCAGTTCGATGCTTCTAGGGAAACCTTCCGAAGTCCCCTTTGGATACTCTTCTACAGACATGACCTCAAGCGGATTTCGTGGAAATATGGGAATTATTTCACTGGGGATATACGATTGTTATTGCTGCGTTATTATTATTATTATTATTTTGTGTCGTATATATTAATGGCAAGCCGGTCCACACAAAACGTATTCGTGGGATTGTCACAATTTTTTAGACCTAATTTGAAAACACTGACCAGAATTCCCTTTCTTGCCCTCCAAAACTATGAACTCGTAGAGTAAGCTACCTGAAGATGTAGCCAAAAAGGTCATGCCATCATTTTATAAGGAACGCCTGTAGTTCACATGTAGGTATGTTCGTCCGCACACGCGCAAATCCACTTCTTCCGCAGATACCTTGATAATCATATTCTTTCGAAGGACTTGTCTTGAGGGCCACCGGTGAGCATAAGTCTGGCGAAACGGTGGGTAAAGCAACATGACGGATAAATACTTCGCGCACTCCGCCAAGACCGCCATCTTCGACCGGGCAAATACAATTAAGTTTTGGGTCAGGAGGTTGCAAATGAATGGAAGTCATGGGCGAAGACGGAGTCATGCCGTTGTAGCAGGCAATTAGTAGACAGTCCACAGGGCTGTGGGCAAAAAGAGACGTTGGGCTGGCGGAGACGCGTCAAAATATAAGCCACTTATCTCGGGAAGAAAAGGAAATTCCAGTCCACAATATGTCCTTCAGACGGATGGCATCTGAACAGCTGAAAGTTCTGCGACACGAAGCTTGCTTCAATGCCACGGACGCCGATCTGCCCAATCATGGCCGCAGTCGAGTCGATTCCCAAACAAACCGGGAACTCCCGCGAGACCAGGCAGCAAGTGACCCCCATGGTGATGGCACATAAACCACCCGCAACAATTAATAGAGCAGAGCAGAGTGCTGTCAAGACACTGGGACAGACACTAGAATTGAGATTCTACCAGCAGACAAAGGGCGTTCTACGGCTGCGCTGGATAGGGCCGACCACATCCAGGGGGCAGACACTTTGCTGGATGACCGATAGGCATAACCCCATGAAACGATGAAGTAGCTGGTGGCGCAATTGGAAAAGACCCTCGCTGATACGCCGACAAGCAAGGTAGCAAGTAAGCCGGTACGACAGGCCGTTAAGTCAACAGACACAGCCTCCGGAGGGTTCTATGGACTACCCAAAGTGCACGAAACCGGTGTCTCTCTCTGGTCAGTTTTCTTTCTGTGCGGCGCACCTATATTTAATCAGACTAAATGGTTATTCCGAAACCTAGGGTCTCTTACATCCGACGCGGCCACAACGGTCTGTTCAGCTACTCAGTTCCGTGAGCTGGTCAAAGGGAATGCGGCTTGCCGAAGACGAGGACATAATGCATTGTACATCATCTCTTTCTTAACTTAGATCCCGCAAGTCCTGGCAGTCGAAACGGTCAGCGCACTGCTTGAGAGTGGCCATGATGAGACCAGCGAGTCGGTGAGACGGAAAAATGAGTGTCCTGGGATATAATGTATTGTATTTTTGAGTTTTTATCCCAGTGACGCCAGTTTTTGCCGCGATCCTTCTCGATTATTGTGCCCTCTATATCTTACTCATTATGCCTGAATCCAACCAACTGCCGGCTTTCTCCGCCCAGTCTCTTCATATCGCCACCTTTGCCTTTTGGCAAGATGCACCGGAACTTTATCCAGCCCGCATCGAGTCTGCCCCTTATTCTTCTGACGTTACCACGGAGCTTGTGAAATATCCCTAATTTGCGGAGGCTCTCCCCGCTCGTGTTATCTCCCAAGTTCAGTCCTGGCTATATAATTTCTCTGCCGATGCTCCCACTTTCACGCTGAAGGTGGAAATTCTTCAACAAATGCGAAAACTCGGTCACTTCTATCTTTGTTGTCTTAGGCGAATACGAAAACTGGGGCAGCAGGAGGTGATCCCTTACACGAGAATTTTTGAGCAATGCGGAATCTTCGGCAGCCCTACCATGCAGAGAAAATGGTGATGGAACGGCCACCCTGTGAGAATGGACGATGAACGACTAGCACAATAACTTATACGGAGATGTCGTCACAGGAGGTCAAACCCGCCGCCAGAAGGATACCTCGGAGCGGCTACGAATCAACTCGAAGAGGTGGAAAGACACCGCAGTGGATCGACAGACCTGCAGAAGCACAATGAAAGCAGGAGCAGCCATCTAGAAAGCCAACCGAATCGCCGCTGTCAAAGCCAAACGGGAAGCTGGAAAGACTCAGACGTCCCTAACCCACAAAGCCAACGTCGAGGCCCTCCCAACACGCCCGCGCTGCCAACGAACATTCTGCGGGTGAATTGGCCTAATCGGGCATCTCTGGACAAAATGGCCCAACACACCGGCAACCCCCCCTGCTATCTTCTCGACCGATCCTGTCTCATTCCCCCCATGGCGTCCACAAAGACGACTGACCTCACCACCGAAACTCAGCATTCACTTGTCTCGCCGCTGTCGATCACCGCCATCTTCATCATCACTGTCACAACCTCCGCGGCGACGACGACCACTACAGCTCTCACTCCCGCCACCGATCAAAGCGCTCCCGACGGCCCGTCACCCACTTGCGTTATCATTAATATTCATGCCTATAGTGATATGGACTCGATCCAAACCTGTTCTCATTGCGATCGCACATTCACCTCACGCGTCGGAATGGTCGGTCACCTGCGAATCCACCACTGTGTGACCGGTCACTATGCGGTGATCTCATTCATATCGGCCGCATCGTTACGAAGCTATGTGTATGGGCTAGAGTTTGAGAGTTTCTTGGAATTGGCTGAGACGGAATGCCTGCGTGGTCATTCCTTTAAACTGAAGGGCTAGTTGATCACTGTGGACGCTCGGCGGGTCGTAAAAACCTGGAATGAATTACCTGATGTGGTGGTGTTTTCAGACACTGCTAAAACTCCTATATACAGACTAAATACTCATATACTGAAAAACTGCTGCACATTTAGTCACGATTGTATCGGTGACGACAACTCGCATCTGTGAATATATATTTTCCAGCATTATTGCCGTAAAAGTTGATGCTAGTATTTTTTTCTGACATGAGTGAAAAGATCAAGGAAGAAAGCCTTAGTCCCTTAGCAAAGTGAGGTAATCTGATGATGAGTGAGATAGCACCCGCCTTGTAGGTTAGCGGTTAAAAGTAGCACAAAGTTTCCTCGTTCTTCATAGGAGGGCGTTGGAATGTTCCTTCAAATTAGACAAAAGCTACCCGTGGAAGCTCACTTCAGTCCAGTGTATTGAGAGGAATAGGTATGAATCCCTGAGTACCCGAGTTGTAAGGCGAAATTAGATGAGGTGTATAGAGAAAACATGTGTGTTGAAATAATCTAAATGGACCTATAATAGTATGATGAATTGGGAAAAAGTCTCAGGGGTTAGGCTCGATATTTCACCAATCCTGTACATTTCCGAGCACAAATATGTTAAGGTATCTTTTAAAGCTTTGTGTCGATGGTGATATGGAAACATTTTCCCGTCTCATACCAACGCGCCAACTCACCGGCACACGTTGACGGGGCCACACCGGCACACCCATGGTTGATGCCTCAACTGCACCTCTGTACAGGTCGCAGCATCCCCATCGTACGTGGTCCGAGCTACTCCTATCATCATCGACGCACGCTCTCGAACCACCATGTACACTGGATAATCTCACACATTTCATCGTCTGCCTCACGATCGACATCATCAATTCGTTCTGTGTCTGACGTGGGGCTGTAGCGTGTGGCCATCATGACCGGTCTGGCGCCATTGTTCAAGACCTCGTTGTCTCAAGGTCACCCACTCCTTGCAGCGAGCCGCTCCAGACGTGCTGACCTGAAGCCACTCTACTGACTCCGACTCTAAAACAACTGCGTCCTCAAAGCGCCGCGGCCACCCATGCGCCACTTGAATGCGCCATCCTCTGCAACCAGCATAAAAAGCTACTGGTACACCAGCCTTCGGCAAATGCAACACACTGACTGGCCACCACTTGAACTTGGCCCACGAGCCTACAAATGTGGCTGCCACCGCTGTCTCAGGGACTCTCAGGCATGACTAGACGCAGTCAACACCAGCCCTGACTTCACTAATGGCTACTGCCGCCTGAGAGAATAACTCCGGGTTCTGTGCACAATAAAGCCCTCATTATGGTGCCTTCCGCCTTCTCCTTCCAACATGGTGTTTGACTTGATAATTGTAGCTCACAGACTACACATATTCCCACTGCTGTACCACTACAGACATTCCGTTGTTTGACCACTCTGACAGAGAAGGAGGACTTCCGCACATGCAGCCTTGCCTGCCGAGTGCGCAGTTTTAATGGGTGACCTCGGAGGTTAGTAGTGGTAGCGAACTCGAAAAGTCCTCAAAGGCGGGGCTGCAGTCTAATCCATTCACTATGTGTAATGTCTGTAAAAGATCTCAGCGTATTAGCGTTTATTTCAAAGGTAGGTTGCATAAGGAAAGGAGCTCTGACCCCTAACCACTTCCATGGTCCTCCTCTGGACTTTTTCAAAACATATTTGATCTTGAGTCGCCCACGGTTTCCAGGCTTGTATGCCGTAATCCAAGTGCAACCTCATGAATATTCCGAAAGCCTTTGAGAATAAGTCTTCGTCAAAATCCACAAATGCTCGCTTAATGGTGCACAGTACGGACATTGGGCTCTTTGCCTCTCTCGAGCAATGACTAGATGGTTTTAGGGAATTCGTCGACAGGACAACGAGATCCTTTCGGGTTTCGACGTCTTGTAAAAGTGCACCGTCAATAAAGCAGCCTCTTGTGCTAGAGGATCTGGTTAGGTTGACTAGGCGGAGTATGGCACACTTACCAACGTTAGACCGCATGAGGCAATTGTTTGACCTCGCCTCTAACTGACTTAAGTTCGTTTGAAGTCTGTCTATGTCGGCAGGGCCCCCGATTACACTCCATATTTTCATGTCGTCAGCAAACGTAGCTGCTTTGTAGTGCAAATCATTTGCAGAATCGTCCACGTGTACTGTATCATCCCAGTGTCCAAGTACTGAACCATGATGAACATCACTCTTGACCGCAGTAGGATCTGAGTTCTCTTGACTAATGCACACAACTTGGTGCACATCCATGAGAAAGTTTTCGATCCATCTGAGGAAGTTATCTCTGATCCTTATTTTTTTCCAGCTTGTATAACAGTCTCTGATGTAGCACAGTGTCAAACTCCTCCTGGAAGCTAATATAGGCGATGTGGACCACGTGCCTGTCGCCAAGAGCTCGGGTTCAGCTCTGGGGAGATTGCAGCGAATTTGTCGTACAGAGGTCTCCTTTCCGGAACCCGTGTTGGTAGCTCGATAACAAGTCGTGAACTTACAGTAAACGCACCAATTCACTCTGAATGATCCTTTGCATAACTTTGCAGAGAATGCATACCAAGCTTATGAGCGTGTAATTTGTCGTCGAAGACCTGCTGCCGCCTTTGTATAGGTGAATTGCATGCGCCAGTTTCCTATGTATAGGTAGTATCCGCATACCAAATGACATCTGAAGGAGCATCGACAGAGGCATAGAAAGTTCACAGACAAGTTCTCTGAGAAGCTTGGGTGAAATATCGTCTGGTCCTGGGGACTTTGATTCATTCAGTGCCTCTAATTCTTATCGTATAACATATTCAGAAAAGGGCATATAATTTATGCTTGAAGCTAACAGTTCTTTTGCGGGGAGGGGGAAAGAATCTTGTCTCGTTTGTGTAGGCTAATAGGAAAAACCGTAAAATATATGCAGTTTTATCCCCGCTATTAGCAATGTCAACGCCATCGGTAGTCCTTACTACGGGGATTGGATGTCTGTTCCTTGTACTTCTTCGAAAGTAGCGGTAGAGCAATTCTTCGGTGTGTGTTGCTTTTGCAACAAATTCTTCTCGAATCCCCGGCGCGTTTTTATAATAATGCTTCTCTGTTTGTTCCTCCGTGTCTTGTGGTTGTTGAGGAATTCAAATTGCCCAATGGCGCAGTAGTTTCTTCTCAATCGGTGCTTCCTGTTAAGCCCTTTCGTTGGGTTGCTATTTAGCCATCCAGGCCGCTTGTTCTGTCCAGCACTCACCCGTGGATAGTGTTTGTTGATGAGCCGCAGAACATTCTTGAGCAAATTTTAATCATCGTTGGCATTACCCGCAAACATTGAGCTCTAACTAAGACCGGATAAATTTGTGCTCATCCGATTGTATTTTTACCGCCAAATGTTGCGTCCTTTTTGGTTTGGAATATGCGAAACGGAGAATAACGAGTAATCCCACATTAGGACTACGCGGTCACTTCGGCCGAGAAGCGGCATGGAGACAACTTCATTCATGCTGTCTAATGGTTTTGCAAGAATTAAATCCAGGCAATTAGCTTTTTGTCTTTCACATGCTCTCGTCGGAAACATAATATGCTTTGTGAGGGGCGTCTTTAATGTTTTGGGCAGCAAACGATAGTCGAGTGTCGATTTGGGACCTGACGATTGGATGGTGTTCCGGTTGATTCCTGTCGCGTTGAAGTCGCCCATGTTCATGGTAGTAGGTCGACTGGATAATTTTCCCAACTACACCAAAAGATGAATGTCGGCGATTTAGTCCGTCCCAGGTAGTTGGCAGATGGCCAGAACATCGAGACACGGGGAACCAGTAGTCTTGGTGGTCAAATAAGTGGCTTTGTTGCTGCATGCAAACCTGGCAGTCTTTTCTGACATTATCAGGTCTTCTTTCACATACACAATTATGCCACCACCCTGACGATGTCCCCTGTCTTTCCGATTTATTTGGTATCCAGTTAAGGCTATTCCGCCATCATCAGTACTTCCGGACTGTCCGGTTTCAGTTACTGCTAAAACTTCCAAAAAACTTCCGTAAGGCAAAATTTTAACCCATCAGGTTTCGATATATGGCTTTGGGAATTTTCATACAAACCCCTCAGTTTGGCGTCAGCCGAATTTCCGATGGCATTATCACTGTAGTGAGCATATCTGCGTTTTCTCGGACGCTGCTTGATGGGTTTATTTAACTCCGGTTTATTCGGCCGGAACACTGGACGTTCAGGAATTGCATGTGCTATCGCCTCTAGCAGCTGGTTTCATGGTGGTATCTGCCTTAGCTGTGTAGCTGCCATTGTTCTTAATATTATTGGCTGATTTCACTGAGACAGTTTATTTTTTTGAACTGTTTTCGCCTTGAATGTAGCCAGGTTGTTTACGTCATCCTTCAATCTCAATTTTACTTTAGAGAAAAGTTTCCGACATTTCAGCCTTTCTGTTGGGGCGCAATTTGATTGAAAAGTATGTTTCCGTGAGTTCCTGAGATTGGATTTTGTGCACAGAATGAACTTTGTTTGCTCTTTGTCCCGCAGCATCATTTTGAGAGGACGAGGTAGAAGTGTTGCTATCAAATATTCGCTCCTATTCCCGATCCTGAATGCTTTCAGAACTTTTATTTTCACGTCTGCTGAAGTAATTGATTTATCAGGCCGTGAAAAAGTAAGATTCTCCAAGGCACAGTCTTTTGGTCTGACTGCTTTCGACTCTGACAAGCGCTGAACAAGCAGACACTGTTGGCGGTCACGGTGCTCTTTACATCGTCTTTTCGGGGAATACTCTATAGGAGGACAAGGACAGAGTACAAAGTCTTTGCTTTGTTGTCCAGTAACTTATCGTTTTCGGCCCTTGTAGGTATATGGTCGTTCAGTTGTGCTCTTTCACTTTTTCACACACTGTTACTTCTTCTAAAGTTAATAAGTTCAGCAGAACATCTGAAACGTCGCGAGTTAGCGACGGAGCTGAAAAAGGAGACCTGCGGATGGAGAGAGAAACATGACTATTTTCTGGGGAAGAGTGATGCAGAGGAATGCGATGCTGCTCTGGAACCAACCAGTCGTCATGATGGCAGCAGCAACATAATATTGACAAACCTGGGAAAAATCGAACGAAGCACTGTCGAATGTTACAAACGTAACTTCTTTTACGCCAATGCTCATAGTCTGTTTCCAAGCTTGAAGAAGTGAGAATACGGGCAACCGATACGCCTCCGGACGTTACAGCAAAAAACAGAAACGTGGCTGTTACAGAACGTCCCTGATTGCGAAGTAGCACTAAGAGGATACCAATTGTTTAGGAGAGACAGGAGAGGCCGCCGATGTGGAAGAGTTGCCATGTATGTAAAGGGCCAATTAACAGTGTGTGAGAGGACCGACAAAATTTACAACGACAAATAGGCAATTTGGCTGACTATAAAGGCACGGGGGTCGCAGTTCCTCGGAGCCGTAACTATCAACCGGCCCCCGCAAGCGGATCCCGACACAGATAATTGTCTACTAGAAAGCATAAAAGAGATCGCCAGTCGATCGGACGTTGTACTCATCGGGGACTTTAATGCACCCTGCATTCAATGGAGCGACATGCATGCGAAGTACCCGAAGTATACCCTCTATTACCGCCTCCTCAAGACAACGCTAGAAGCTCTTCTCACACAGCATGCTCCATTTCCAACAAGAGGGCGTGGAGTACAACAGGCTAGTCGCTTGCATCTCGTCCTTACCAAAGACCATGACGGAATAGACGAGGTGTACTGTCTGCCTCCGCTCGGTCGAAGTGATCTCGCAGTACTTTTATAGGATTACGAAAGGTATTCTGAACCATATGCAAAAGACGAAGGAGGCTAAATATGTGGAAAAGGACTTTTGCCAAAAGAGAGCTGAGACACAGAAGAAGGTTAAGGGCTTATTTTCAGGAGATGACGAAACTTCGAGAGTCATTTGCTCAACCGATCCGTTAAAAATCGAAAATTGCTCTACAGCTATTTCCGTAAAAGCACCCGTAACAGGAATCCGATTCCTGCCATGAGGAATGAGGGCGACTTGGGGATATCACACAGCACAAACAATGCTGAGCGCTTTTCCCAGTGTTTTCAATCTGTTTTCACAAGTGAAGTAGACTTTATTCAATCTTGCGCTGTGAACATGGTAGACCATACTATTAAAAATATTGTGTTTCCAGAAGAAGCTATTAAGGAAGAACTTAAATGCTTGGAGGAATGTAAATCTCACAGTCCTGACGAGATCCCCGCAAAACTGCTCTTTAGGCTTCACCGACAGCTGTCCAATTCAGTTTTCTCAGTTCAGTTTATTTGGTAAGGATAATAGGCAAAGCCTTTGAAAACCCTATTGATTACATGTCAGCTCGTTAGAAATAACTGTACACGAACAAAAAATGTTCACTATTAAAACCGTACTTGGTTCATTTAAGTAGCAGTCGAAATATCATTGATGTACAGAAGGAACAGTAGCGGACCCAGAACCGTGCCTTGAAGTACGCCACTCGTGATCGAGTGAGGTGTCGAGTATCTATTGCCGACCATGACTTTCTGATATCGGTTGGACAGAAGAGACCTGATGAAGTCGAATAGAGGCGGCCGGATGCCGAGGGCTTCCAATTTTACTAAAAGACGTCTATGGGGCACCTTGTCAAAGGCTTTGCTAAGATCAAAGTAAATAACTACAACTGACTGCCGCTCATTACGAAGAGAAGTGATAGGATTAAGAAAAGCCAAGTGGCATGTTTCGCAGGATCGTTCAGGTAAAAATCCATGCTGACTAGAGCTTAGAAGCCGATTAGCTAGACAGAAGTCAAGAATTTCATTAAAAATAATCCTTTTAAGAAGCTTTGCTAGAGATGGCGTTTTGTGCACGCCCCGATAGTTATTAACATTGGACCGAGATCCTAACTCGAAGGCGGGAATAATAATTGACGTTTTCCATGTTTCAGGAAATAATACTTTTGAAATATAAACCGAGAATAGATGACTGAGCAATATGGGAAAGTCGGACGCTTGTTTAATAATCGAATTCGGAATCCCGTCCGTTCCTGAGCAGTGTGAGTATTTCAAACGGCTTATGTGTTTCTTAATGAGATCTGAGGAGACATCAATTGTACTCAGTGTCCTATCTGAAAGTGATCGAAAGAAAGGGACCGGATCGGACTCGGTAGTAAGGTGTTTTGCAAAGAAAGCACCAAACAACTCCGCCTTGTCAGTGTCATCGGTGAGGAAGACTTTGTTATCATTTAGCAGGGTTGGAAGTTCGTGACCACGCTTAGAGGAGGACCGATGACGGAAGATGTTAGCGACGGATTTGCCAGGGTTCGAACCACTGAGAGCAATTGATTCTCTTTGCCTGTCGCGCGCTTGGCGCATCCTTGAGGCCATCTCAAATATCTCTGTGATTCTAAGATGAACTGATAAGGAATTAGTGGATGGTTCACGCAGTTGTCGCCTCAACTTTTTTAGTCTGTTCTGAAGAAAATGAGGAACAAGAGAATCTGAAGAATTAGGCTTGAGATATCTACGCGGCACAAACTCTAGAATGTCCTTGGAAACATTGGACATGACATCACGAAGAATGGTTACATCGCTACAAGTGAGGAAGCCACACCAATCCAAGGATCTCATATAGTTATTTATTAAGTCGCTATCTACGCAGTCGTAGTTCATGAAAGTCTGAACAGCGCTTGTCTTTTTGAAAAGGCAAGCGGTAAGCAACAATAAATTAATACGTGGTCACTGTCAAAGAGGTCCTTTTTTAAAGCAACAGAAAGAGGAGCAATGTTATTGGTAAAGATTAGATCTAAAATGTGATTATCTGTTGTTGGAGAGCGCACCAGTTGGGACCAATTAGAAAAATTGACAATATCTTGAAAGGACTGGAATCTGGGTGGGCAGCTATTGGAAACCCAGTCAATTTCAGGAAGGTTAAAATCCCCAGTGATTATTTTAACATCGAAAGCAGCTTCCGAAATTAATTTAAAGATTTCACAGAGTTGTGAATCATCACTGGCTAAAGAATTTGGGGAATTGTAGATACAGCTACCTTAACGCAGTGAGACAAATGTTTGCTCATCCACACACCTCGATCCATTAGCTCGTTTACTACCTCAAATTGGTGAGTTCAGGTGCAATACTGACTTCGAAATCTCATAGCCCATTTGTAACCAGACCGTACTCGGATAACCTGGGATTGGTTAGAATTGGGTTAATGGAGCCACTCCACACACCATTGTTGCAATCGATCCAAATTATTTTGCAAGGTCAACGCATTATCTCAGTTTACTTGGTAAGGATAATAGGCACAGCCTTTGAAAACCCTATTGATTACATGTCAGCCCGTTAGAAATAACTGTGCACGAACAAAAAATGTTCACTATTTAAACAGTACTTGATTCATTTGAGTAGCATTGTCTCAGAGAAAATATTTGTGGGGACGTGGGGTCTTAGTTCAGATTCAAACTGTCGAGGGAAAATAGGGGACACAAATAATCATCCAAGCGTTTCTTGAAGAGTTGCAGGGACGTAGCCTCCACGGCTGACTGAGGGAGATCGTTCCATTTCTCCACTACCCTCTGCGTGAAAAATTCAGAACGAAGATTCAGCCTGGACATTGTTGTCCATAACTTCATCGAGTGACCACAAAGATTGGGTGAAAGGTGCCACTGAAATATGTCCTCAAATTTAAGTCCATACTCAAGGCCATGTATTATCTTGTAGACGAGGATAAGATCACCTCTTTGCTGCCTGTAACAGAGAGGGAATAAATTAAGGCAATTCAGTCTGTCTGTGTAGGATTGGCTTTTTAGACCGTTTACCAGCTTTGTTGCACGCCGTTGTACTCGTTCGAGGCATGCTTGGTCTTTTACTAGCCATGGCCGCCATGCTTGTATGCCATATTCTAAGTGGGGCCTAACAAATGTGCCGTAAACTCTCCCGAAAAGGTCTTGGTCAAAGTTAACGAAAGCCCTTTTTATTGCATGCAGCACTCCCATGGCGTTTTTTGCAGCCTTGTGGCACTGCAGTGTTGGTTTCAGGTTGTTCTCTATCTAAACCCCGAGATCCTTCTGTGAAGATTCTGCAGGGAGCCTTATATCTTTCAGGTGATATGTCCTCAGGCTCTCATTTGAATTAGAGTTGGTTGGAAGCAGATGAAGGATGACACATTTCTCCACATTGAAATCTAGAAGCCACTTCTTCGACCACGTTTGCAGTCGGTGCAGATTATCTTGAAGGGATCTCTGATCATTCGGACCCTTAATGACTTGCCAGAGCTTAACATCGTCTGCAAACATTATTTCGCCGCAGTCGAGTTCCTGAAGGCTGTCGTTAACGTAAAGGATGAAGAGCAATGGTCCCAGAACTGAGCCTTGTGGCACACCACTGGTCACATTCACCCATTCTGACATATCATCCCCGACACAGACACGTTGTTTCCGACCAACCAGAAACGCCCTAATCCAGTTTAGAAGATCTCCCCGGATGCCGATGGCGCTCAATTTGTGAGGAAAACGTTGGTGCGGGACAGTGTAAAAAGCTTTGCGGAAATCGATGTATACGACATCGATCTCAAAACCCTCTTCTAGAGCCCTGGTCCAGATCTCCAGACAAGCTAGCAGATTTGAGAGGCAGGAACGTCCTCTCCGGACGCCATGCTGAAAATCCTGCAAGATGTTATTTTCTTCACAAAATTGCTGTATAGCGCTGTTTACTATAGCTTCCATCGTTTTGCAAGGGAGGCAAGTTAAGCTAATAAGCCTAAAGCTGCTTACTGTCACCCTGCTACCTCCCTTATGCTATGGAACGAGGTTAGCTGTCTTCCACTGTGAGGGCAGCCTTCCTGTTCTCATTGACAGCTCAAAGAGAGTCAAAGGAGGCATTGACAGCTCCGTTGATAGCTTCCTAAGTATCAACCCGAGAATTCCGTCGGGTCCAGGAGACTTACCAGGTTTTATTTGACTAAGGACGCGTCTTAATTCTTCGACGGAAAAGGCGACGGTTTCAATGACGGCAATATCTTGGCGCATTTGAAGCTCCCGGCTGTCTCGGTCCATTTCAAACTGCTGATTGTCTTCTAGGGACTCCTCCGTAAAAACAACTATCCTTTCTGTGTCAGGCATCGTTTGATGCTGGAATCCTTCCCACAGACTAGAAGACGGCCCACATCACATCCCTTTACAAAAGCGGTAGCGGTGCTCTTGCGACGAACAACGGACTCGTCAGTCTGACATTAATCTGCTGCAAAGTCATGGAGAAAACCATCAAAATAGAGTTGATGTTCAATTTGGAAACCACAACCTTTTTCCCAATGCAAAATACGACTTTCGTAGGTAAGGTCGTGTGTAACGAACTTGCTACACGCAATGCAAATTTGTACAAGAGCACTGAATGCAAAACACACCGTGCATTTGGCCTACATTGATTTCTGGTAGGCTTCCGGTAGCGTTCCGCAGCAGCGTCTCCCGTACAAGTTGAGAGTCATTGGCATCGGTGTTGGCCGCTCCCAAATTGTCTGCGTAGAACAACAGTAATCAAGGCGCACATTCATTGAGAGTGGAATCCCACAAGGCTCGGCGCTTGGACCAACCCTCTTTATTTTGTTCATCAATGATTATGTAGATGGGTTGGATTGCGATAGTGCCATGTTTGCAGATGACATAAAAATCTGGAAAGTCATCCAGAATGCTGCCGATGAGACCAACTTCCAAGAAAGTCTTCGTCGATTGGACGAGTGGTCCCGCAGATGGGTCTTGTCCTTCAATTTGGACAAATGTACCGTACTGCGCCTCTGAAACCAGACCCCTAATACGCGGCAACACCATCTGAACGGAATGCCACTCCGAGAAGCAGAAACTCAGAAAGATCTCTGAGTTTGGGTTGCAGACAGCCTAAAGCCTTCTACACAATGTTGTAGGGCGGCTAAGGCCGCAAATTCAGTGCTATACAAATGAAATCAAAGTGCAGTCGAAGTGGATGAGTTGGTTTTAGGTTTTTTTTCCTGTGTTTAAGGAAGACTGACTGTGCCCAAGGGGCGCTAAAATAAACCTATTCTACACGCCATCAAGCGCGCATTAATAGTTTTCGACGAGGACTTCTTCTCAAAAGTCTTCAGCACATTTGTAAGGCCGCATCTCGAATATGCAATTCAGGCCTGGAGGCCGTGGACGCAGCAGGATGACAATCTGCTCGAAAAGGTGTAGAGACCAGCAACAAAATTAATGAGTTCAAGATGCACTGCCATACGAGATCCGACTAAACAACAATAATCCTTTCCCCCTGAATTATAGGCATATGCGCGGAGACTTCATACAAACTTTCTGTATCATGCGTGGCTTGGATTGCGCCCTCCGGCGGGACGAATATTTCAAACTCTCCACTACAACAGTCTTCCGGACACATGCCTCAAACTACGTGTGTCCCAAGGTAGACTGGATGTGAGAAAGTATTTTTTTCTCCATCCGTGTCGTGAAACCGTGGAATAACCTATCCGAGACGATCGTTATATCTCAATTTGTGGAGACATTTAAGTGTCAGCTTGACAGACATGCCGCAGCAACAAGCGACTATGTGACTTTGTAACAAAAACCAGTGACCTATGTGAATCGATGTCGGCATTCACTTGTTGGTGTAATTTCTTTGTGTTAATGTTAATTTTTTTAGATTTTTCTGTACAAATAGGGAGTTCAAAGGCGTAAACCTATTGCCCTCAAATTCACTGTATACACAGCCGTCGAACATCGTACTTCGTATACAGTCTGTGCTTTGTACCATGTACTGCAAACAACGAGTGTAAATACACTGACTGACTGACTGAAGTTCTCGTCACCTCCCACCTGTCAACCTTTCCCTAGGTGGTTTTTGATGTAATTTCTAACTTAAGCAGTGGTGACTGGTAGCTGGTTCTGATGCTGTCTCTTGTCCGTTTGTTACTCGTCATGGCCATAAAACCACCTTTAGAATTTTGCCTAGAACTCCACTGCCTGGCTTGAGGTATGTATATTTGTTCAAATTTTGACAGGATAGCGACAATATTTTTGGAAGTTTTAGTTTCTTGGATGGATATGTACTACAACACATCGCTAGTTAATTGAGTTTCTTAAAACCGATACTACGACCTTGTAGGTCACTGAAATTAGTTGCGGATTTTTCGGTCTCAACTTGTTGGTCAGGTGGGAAGACGAATTGAAGGACGGATGAGGCGCCATAGAACAGGCAGCACGAAGCTGAACAATGGACCAACTTTATCATTTCACGAAATTTCTTACTCTGTCCAAAAGATGCATTATTTTGTGTTTCCTGAACGCATGGTTGATGTATTGAAATGTGTTACGTAAGCATTCCACTCAGGCAAATTTTTTCTTTGTGAGTTTAGCGTATATTTCTAATTAGGCTAATATTACGACCAAAACTTGTGCAGGTACACCTAACATCAAAGACAGACCGCATCGTTTACTTTGTATTCAATAGAGCCCTTCTTACGTAAGAAGATAACGTACGTTATTAATTTGTGACTGCGTCGACAAGTAATTGCTTGTATAATTAATTGGTTGGGTTGGGCGTAATTGTGGTCGATTGGCTAGAATGAGTAAGGACTCGTTAGCTGATGCATTTCTACCGACGGTCTGGATATCGAGAAAGGGGGAATTGGGAAAGCGTTAACAGGCGAGGTACCCTGCGCATTTTTCAGGAGATTAGGCCAATTGGGCCACATCCGCCCTTGTCACCCCGTGGTCCAACCTTGCAGTCCAACACAGTCCAACCTAGTCCAATTGTACTGGACTGGGCTGGGTTGGGTTGCTGCGGACAGGAACCTGCTTCCCAGTTTCTCTTAATTAGGGCACGTACGAGGGTACCACCCCAGCTAGTTTTCTGCCCTGTGTGTATGCGCGAAATTACCCCTATAGTTTCGGAGAAACCTGAACTTCTTCCTGTTCTGTCTGCCGTCCTGACGGTTAACACGAAAATTAAGACCGGATTCGGCAAGTCCGATTCTGTCGGCCTACTTTCGAATCCCTTGAATGATTTCGACAGAGAAGTTAAATATAAAGCCGACTTATTTTTGAGGTGTTAAGCGCGAATTAGTTCAAGCAGTTTTTGGTTTTAAGTGTTTTGAAATACATATTAAGTAGTTCTTGTCTTTAGGTATATATTTAAACGGTCTATGCAACCGTTTTATAGTACACGTTATTGGAAACTGACGTTTTTGTTTCGTCTTCTCTCTTATTTTCATTTCGCTATCATTTGACTAGTTTATCGGACCCTCTTTCCCTTTTTTGTCATATCTGGGGACTGGAAAATTATGTTCGATCTTTGCACGCTTATTAAAGAGGCCGAAACCTAAATATTGGATGTAAACTTATTTTTCACGTTATCTACATCGACAACTCCCCTACGGTGTTTCAGTTTGATGGCCCATGTTTTTCTACAGTCAATGCTATAGACTTGGCACCAGTGATAAATCCATTCAGAAAAACCCTCTTTTGGTCGACACCAACAGTAGCTAATTGATATCCAGGAGCCGCAGCAGCTTATCGTTCATTCAATATTAGGCCGTATCTAACCGGCAGAATTTATTGAAAAAACTATGTGTGTCCTCTGATTAAAACAATTCTCACCAATATGGTATTTTAAGAGCTTTGCTTGAGAACAACTGTTGAACCACCCACGGAGCTGCCCCCTATTCGAGAAAAACCTCGCTGATCAAACTTTTATGGGCATCGACATCGACTTTTTAAATCAATAATCGGAAAACCGCTAACCGACTTACTCACTTTAACTCGCCCATGACGTCGAGATCTTGGAAGGGCAGTTACCTTATCAAGAATTCCCTCCTTTCTCTTGTTCCGCATTCAGCCGTCTCTGTAAAGCTTAAGTGAACCCACCCTCTGCTCTCAAACAGAGGTGGCCTAGTAGGCGAATATAGATGCGTAGGTATGAATTAGTTTTTCTTGCTTGGGGCTGTGGCATATTATGTAGGAAACACGATTCTGCCATCCACAAGAGAATGAACAGTCTATTATTTACGAGTACTGGATAGGACTGAAATCAAGTTTTTTTCAACCTTCATGATGCGAACCTATCTGGATAACCGCGACCATAATCCCATGGAGTTTTTTGACGTGCGTTACCACATCGAATGTAAAGACGAAATGGATATGGTTGAATTAGTTCGGATTTCGAAACTGCAGACTACCTATAAACTTGAATAGGCCGGATTATATAAACTCAGATTAGGAGATTTCGTATACAAATCAAAAGCCGCGTGAATTTTTGTTCCTAAAGTGTACCCGGAAGTCATTATACGGCTCGCTAACTCTGGAAAGTGTGGTTATCGACTAATTCCTCTTAAGATATACGTACCCTGCCGAGATATAGTTTGTTGAACCAGGTCGGACCTACCAGCGTACCCTCAAGTTCACTATTCCGCCAAGAGGTTACATTTGGGCTTATGTTCCATTGCAAGAGTTCTGCGAAGCAATTATTCATACCGTATACATGATCGGGGCCAATTTTCTTAATTCCTCTATCTAAACAGTATTTTTCACATTATATATCTTGTTCCTCCGAGTGATGGGACCTTAGGTCCTGTGGAGTAATAGAATTACGCTATTGTGATATTGCCATACGAGTTATTGATCGTCCATGCCGAACCTGTTTTGCAATCTGCATAGGTTAGCGAGCTGTCTCTTCCGAAAGTTTGTTGCTTACATGCTTAAGCGATCTCATTTACTTTTTTTGTCCAGAGGAATTCTGAAGCCCGGATTAAATGCCCTTATCGGTCCTACTGGGAGCGGGAAGACAAGGTAAGTTGCTTCAAGGAAGAACCTCGCTTGAAGAAAATTTAGCTGGTTACAGACCCGTAGGCTAGCAAATTGTGATTTCTGAAACACAGTTTGCACGACTTCACCGTCGCTTAGAAGGGCTTTTTGCATCAATTTCCTTAATGAATAGCAATCCATTGTCTCGTGTTTCTTATCAAATCAATAGTTTTGTATTAATTACAGCCTTATGGACATCCTTGCTGGGCGCATTGATCCGACAAACGTAGTTGGGACAGTTCTAGTCGACGGAAAGGAGCCCCCACATGATTTCCATCGATATGCTGGCTATGTCTGTCAGGTAACGTGGTCTCCCAAGACCTTTCCTCCGTAAATGTTGGAACAGTATTTTAGTATTTCGTTTTTTTTTGACTCAGCAATGCAGGGCATTGCCTTTGTTTACTCTTTCTCCTATGAAAAAACCCAGAGTTCGAAATAAAAGACCGAAAGGCATATACTGTTATATTGAACTGTCGAAAGGCATATACTGATAAACTTAGACCTCAAGAAAAAGTTCGAGAAAGTGTATTGGCCAGTTAGAAATGACGTCTTGCATCCCTTTTTTCTACGCCAAATTTCCGAAATGTAAGACGTTCGTAAAAAGAATACCGACGAAGTAATAAAGGGAATTCACCCTTGAATGGCAAGTTCATTGCTTCTTTCGGATAACTGTTGTGTCATTTCGTCCTTTTTAACGAGCCAAAAACCTGTTTTACCAAATAACCTCGATGCTCATATCACACCAGTGGGTCTGCGCGCTAATAAGAACGATTTTGTCTGCCGATTACGACCAGTTCAGCGAGCATGCAAAGTTTGCAGTGTCCTCCTTCTGGAGCCGCTGGTCTCGGAAGCTCCATAATGGAGCCAGCAAGGACTGATATATAGCGGCTATAGCTCTGTTCCAGGGCCACTGTAAGAGACAGTGGATGGGCACTCCTTTCTGCTCCATCGTTTTACTCAGAATACGCTCGCATAAACGTTTGCAAACCGGCTACTGGGTTTCTCAGTTTTCGCCGGATTCTATAAATAGACTTGAAGGGTTATAGGTAGAACCCTTTAAGATGCTAGCTGCAAGTAATTGTGTTGCAGAAGACGATTTTTGTCAAAAATTATACAAGCAAACTTAAACACAAGGGGTGCTGGCAGTCACCACCTTACTTAGTGGTGTGCTCTATGGTCAAACAACTCCCAGACTGGAGCAAAGCCTTCTATCGTCTAGTCATGTGCATTCTCTTTTGATCTTCTACGAGTGACTGCGTAGGTTATTTTTTCCGGTAAACTTAATGAAGTTCGCCGGTTTTAGCGAGCAGCCGTGATCGCGGATAATCGGGTGTTCAAAGCAGACTATTTCTTAGTTGCCTGTATTATAAATGGAATGGGTTGAACCTTTACAACATATCTGGGTGCAGTGGGTTCATAAAACCGACCACCAACTTTATGACCTTGAGCTGCACCTGCTCAAAGAGGTCACTGCTCTCCTTTGTCCTCGGTGTCCAGACTGGCATCCCGTATTCCTGATGAGGGCCTACGATCACATCGAAATTTCACCAGTGTAGTTCCCGAGTGAATACTTTAAACGGATGTCCAATCCAGCAAACAGTGCTGGTTACCTTCTGGGTCATCCTTGTACAAATTGGATGACAGTATCGAGTTTCGTAATCATCCACATGCTTAGAGTTTCGTGTGCTTACAAGTACTTTACTGTAATCCAACTAATGAGGAGACCTTTCGACCCACTCTCAAGTGTCAAAGCACAACTCCAAGCACATTGAACTTGAAATCACTTCTCTGACCAAACACTCAATTTTGCAGTGTTGGATTGCAAATTCAGAGTGTCACTAGCGCACTTAATCTCCCTCAGTGACTATGACGACCTTGAAATCTGGCCTCTTGGCGTAATCGTGAAAATAAATAAGGAAGGGTAGTATTCCTGATACAGAGTCCTTTGGAACACGGTTTTAGGCGATTGTCCTCTGAAGTTTAATTGCAGAGGATTACTCTGGAGAGCGGATCATGTTCGGTTCACTTGGGTCTTTCGTTCCCGATACCCATTTTCCCAATTTACTGTAGAAGAGGCCTCCGCGTTATTAAGTCCAAAAATACGGGATCTGCTGGATAGCATTTATTGGCCGCCCTGGCCTATTTCTAATGTGACTAAAACTTGTGGGACAAGAGCATTCTGGACGAAAGACATGTTACGTAGTGCACAGTATATTGCCTTTTTCCAGATACTCTTCAATGGCACACGCAGACAAGCTGTCTAGCTTTTTCAGCCACCGCGCCCAATCCTTGCACCGAATGACAGACAGTGGACTGGTGCCTGGGAGACAGAGAGGTCGATTCTGAGGGCTCCGTCCACACGACACTCAGCCTGTATTCCTCACCATAAAGAAACTAAGGCACTTTTAAACTCTCACGGTGTGCTAAAAGTCGTGCCTTGGAGGGCTGAAAACTGATGGGTTAATTCGAACCTCCTTTCAGGACGTAGAGTCAGGCTACAATGGCTTCTTCTTACTGAGGCCTCTATGGAAATCTCACTTAAGTCGGATCCAGGCCCAGCACCTATTTTTGGTGGAAAATCGGGTTATCGTTCACAGACCGGGTCATGTGGAGGCTCTTTTAGACCGTGGTTTAGAAGGCTGCCAATTGACGGGATAACCTCGTTCCCCTCTTGCGATGGAGATTCAAGTTGCAATGGGTCTTTCTAAATATGGCCTTTTTACAACCCCTGCATTCAGGATCCGAGCCCTGGCGTTTTTGTCACGCACAGTCGGGCTGCTTAGTTTTGTCAGTCACTGGACCCGATCACGCCTCCGGTCTCCTGAACTCTGTCTTGGCACCGGCCTCAGGTGGACGAGAGAAGAGAGAGTACGGTAGATAGACATAGTCGTTCTGTGACCGAACTGCCATCGTATTGCTTTCTTCCAGATAATCCACAAGATATGTTTTTATACGACGTTCTATTTGGTTTGTAACACTTAAGAAAATGGTTTTTTTAAAACGAGGCCTGAATTTGGAGTTTATCTACTTTGGGCGGTTAGTTGTCTTACTTCTGCCTTGTTGATGAAATGAGTTCTCCAGTGGTTATTTATTTTATTGCGCGATGCAGTTACCCATGGCAACCCTGACACATCTCCTCTCACGAGAGGGTAGTCTCCTTTCCAAATATTTCACTTTCGCCTATAAGACAAATTTGATTTCGGAAATTCCGGACATTTAAAGTGCAACACAGTGTAATCGCAGACCCTATTGGTGGTTGACCTTGTAGTTAGAGCACAACTCATACTCGGGTAAAAATAACTTTAAGTCCGTTTGATCTTTGTCCTCCCTTAACCCCTGTCCCGAAGGTAACGTTGACAGGTCGCTCGCTGCGCACCATGACAATTTGTTATCATAGTTATCCGATGGGCCCTGCGCGGTTCACGTTTGCTAGTCGGTGCCAGAACCATTAAAATCCCCAGCAGTAAGGACATATTTCTTCACGCCGCCCGCGCGCAGTTCAATAAAGGTGAAGACCACGGCGCGAAGTCTAGTTAGGCGGACGACATACGACCGATAACGTTAGCGACCTGACGCACTTGATGTAAATAGTGATACTGAACAGTTTAAATTCTTATGCCAGGTTGCGTTTTTCAGCAAATGCGGTGAGCCTACAACTGGCTGGACGTGACTGCTCTTCCGCTGTTTCGTTTATCCCTTCTAAGGAGTTCACACCCCCTCTGTTTGCTATCTCGGAGTTCAAGCTGCCTGCAGAAAGCCCAGTTTTTGTGCATACCATGATGTGAGGTTTGGTTTCGTCGAGTACGTTTTTGACTTCGTTCGATTGGTTGAGCAGACTTTGTACAGTTGGCTGTCAACTTGAAGAAGTGGACAGTTTTTAATACCTCGGGGCTAGGCTGCTGCCTAATGGACAGAGTAAGGACGACATTGTCTCCCGAATCGATGCTGCCCGCTGGGTTTTTTCAAGCCTTCGGAAACGCCTGTGGAACCGACGTGACCTCTCCATCGCCACTAAGATTCGCGTGTACCGTGCATCTGTCCGGTCTGTCCTTCTCTAAGGTTGTGAATGCTGGGCTTTGCGCGTGGAGGATGAGCGAAAACTGGAGGTATTTGACCACCACTGCTGGAGGATCATCCTTCGAGTGAAGTTAACCGACTTCGTCTCAAATGAGATAGTCCGCGCTCGCTGCGATAACATCGCAAGGATAACTCAGGCCATCCAAGAAAGACGACTGAGGTGGTTCGGGCATGTTCTTCGTCGTCCACCTCAGGAGCTCAGTGTTACTGCCCTCGATCCGGCACCGTTGTCCCATTGGAGGCGTCGAAGAGGGGGTCAGTTCAAAACCTGTCTCGACACATTTCGTCAAGACATGGAGGTGGTTCTTGGACCTTCGGTATTCGGTCTCCGTCGTTGGCGAAGGGAATGGATTGAGCTGTCTAGATCTGCTGCCGCGGATCGTCACGCGTGGAGAGGTACAGTTCGGGACATCATCGAGGCCGGCTAGATCAGACATGATCGCAGCCGTATCAAGTACAAGTACATTGGCCTTTGGTGCTTGCTTTGTCGGAGAAGGAGGATTCCGCCCTCACTATGCCGAGTTTTTTTTCACAGGAGTGACTACCTGGTCTGGATTATATAGCCATCTTTGATTTTTAATCCGTTCTCCCCCTGTCTATTCTATCCTTTTATTCCACTCCAGCTTCCTTCATTTTCATTCGTTACTTCGGTTTATAGCTCATTTGAAAAAATGATTCTTTGTACGGATTTCATAAAGTCATTCGCCCTTCTGGGGGAGGTGTTGTCCGGACTTCATTCCCAAGGGGCCGTGGGGATGATCTCAGGTCGCGCAGTGGCTCTGGGTTGCCTAACCGAAAAGCCCTCCACCCTACAAGACGGTACTAGTATATTTACGAAGAAAATCTGGGTTTCCTTCTATCCGTTCCTCCGGAATGCGCTCCGTAGTCCTCGAAGGCCTTGACGAGGACCCGACGAAAGCGGTCCGGCGTAGGTATGTGGGTCTTCGCCGTTCAGTGTTGGAGGCGGGTTTGCGATGTGCATAATTGGCGTGGATTGAGCGATCGAGTCATTGCTGAAGCTGACCTTTCGAGAATTATGAATCCCAAGAAATTGTTATACTTTGTTGGGAATTCCCGCTTGGATACGATAGGGAACTAGATACGTGATGAGTGTGGAAGTCGCACTCCAAGAATCGCTATACTTATGAGTTAATATTTTCGCGGTTTGGATGGCAGTTCGACCGTCGTGCTCGATGATGTCTACCGTGTGCTCTACAGCAAGGTAAAGCAGGCCCGGCGACTTGCGCGCGAATTCGTTTAAAGTGAGGGTAGACTTGTGCAGCATCTACCGCACTCTCTCTTCCCCACCTGGGCCGGGCGTCGAGACAGGATCAAAAAGACCGGTGGTGAGGGAGGGCGCAGGTGTCTGGTACGACTGGGCCCGCACCTAGACGTACCACCACACCCCCTGATCCACAGCAAACTCATGATCAGGACTTTAGCCATTAACTGCACCACAACGGGTCAGAAGGACGAATAAGGATGACTGGGCAGCCATGCTCACGATCTCTATACCCGGCGGGAGCGCAATTGCATCTTTCGGCAGGGAAGCAGGTGCCACGGAGCTGCCAGCTCACGCTAGGCTGCAAGGGCCACGGTTTGCTGATTCTGGTATAGCTGACGCTTACAATCACCGCGGTTTGGATAATATATGATTAATTCACAACCTATTTCAACACGAGTCGTCTTCTTCCACTAAGACAGCGAATTAATAGTGAAAAACAGCTATTTCAGCTGTGCAAAACCCAAGTTCTGGTGCATTATGTCGACGAAATCCTTGTCAGCGGATAAGAATAAGGATGAATACGGTAGGAATCTGGACTCTTCTCTCGATCCGCGACGAGGAAAGAAACGGAGGACCTATTTTATTGCAAAATCTGCTCTTTTACTTCAAACCAGACGGTTAGCTGGCGACAACAGGGTATAGGATATCTGCGAACATTTTGCAACCACGCACCTATGATTCTAATCCCCCATTGTAACAAAGCAGAGCTGCGTACACACACCCTACCGGGGAGTGGAAACTGCGCATAACTTCAGTTACCAAGCAGGAAAAGATAAATTACCTTCGAACGCTCTTTACAACCAACAGATATGTACCAGGACTTTTTGAAGGGAGCCGAAACGCGGTAAGCAGTCAGCCCGAGTGATGGTGGAAAATGCTATACGTCAAAAGTGTCTCGGAGATCATGGCTAAGGCTCAGGTGCCCATTGAAATAAGAGTAGTCTGCAGGCCCAACACAAGAGTTTACCGGAAGTTGATACACTCAACAAAACCCACCCCAAACGCGAAGTCATCCTTCGTTTATTGACTCAGGAGTAGCTGCGAAGAAGACAATTACATCAGTGAAACCTTTCCAAAACCGCAGAAGGGCGTGATGGAGCAGTGAAGTCACAAGTGACAACCTACTTAATCAAGTAGGCACAACTTTGAAACTAGTGCAACTTAAGCCGTGGGCTGAAGTGTCGACCACAGAACAGGATAGTTACAGGGACCCTATTTGTCAAAAGACCGCTCAGCCGGTCGTCGTATAGACCCACCTTTGACCTACGTGGCCCTGCACCGTTACCTTACAAAGGATCCAATCAACGGAGAAGCTATACATTATGTGCCTGCCAATTCTAACCGCAGACAGTGATAACAGAGGTGACACCGATCCCGGTCAACGGGAGTCGCAGGACTCACCCAAAACCACCATTGACTGTCAGGAACGGTGCGACGCGCGATCCACAGGTCTTTAAATGCGCGTTAATATCCGTTCAGATCGCATTGTCATGCGGATGGGAGGCGCGTACAAGTGGGAGAGTAACACAGGACCTTTGGAGAGAAATTGGCTTCTATTTAAATGAGATTGACAGTTTGGGAGGGCACGGGAATAGGAGCACCCCCTGCAATACAGGCGACTTTACGCTAAAATTGAAGGACATTAGGGCTGGGGTTAGGGTTAAGGTTAGGGTCACGGGAATTGGTATCCTTCCAGGAACTTAGCGCAAGACCACCTGTATTACGCGGGGTTCCTTTTTCCATGTCTTGTCGACAGTTTTGGGGTTCACCACAATGAGTGTGTGACCTGCACCACCGTTGCGCAAGATAAAAAATGGGACAAAAATTAGCTCATGGTATGTGTCGGCCGGGCAATACGGAGTCTGTGCAACTCCTGCTATTGCCATACATCATTGTAGCATGCTTTGACAAATGTCTTACTGCGGCCAGTGGACCTAAAGGCCCGGGCAGGCGATTGAGTCATGGACGAAGCTGACACCGAGTCATCCATTCTCGTGACAGTTCGCCGTATTCCTCGCTACACTAAATCTGTTTTGGTCGGGACTATCACGACGCGCTACAAGTCCTGATTTGCAAGACTGTCAGCTGAGGGGCTAAATGGTTTCTAGAATGGGGGTTATCATGCGGTTGCTGCTTAGTGTGACCCTTATAACAATTTTCACGTATTTGATATCCGAGCCCGTGTGTGGTTCTCGTTAGACGACCACTTTGTTTCAGTCACCGCGTCCATTTTTATCCAACTTCAACTGACAGACTCGTACAGTACACTAGCGCGTGGACTAAGTCCTTAGTTTCCGCGCCGAAGACGACCAAACCCGCTTACAGCCGCGACGTGGAAGATTACCATAGAGCAGACTAGCCTGTTTTTCCTTTAAAATGATGATCAGCTTCGGCCGCTTTGTTCTTGCCGCCATAACCAACACCTTACTTCACGGCCCAATCTGGGATACGGATATTCGCAGTGACTTATATAACCTATTCTCGTGCAAAGATTTGAATGTGCATCTTTGCTCGATTTCGTGACCCATCGAACTCATTGCATGATGTGGGCTATCATTTTACACCGTGCACCGTTATTTGCATAGAACGACAGACATGCTTGATTTAGCAAGTTCGTTAGGTCTGATGATCTGCCACTTCCTCTGTTTCTAAGCCACACAAGCATGTTTTATTTACCGAAATGCTGTTAACAGCAAACAATAACTTTTCCCTCTGCCAGGACGACTTCGCTATCTCAGTCCTAACCGTCAGGGAGAATCTCAACTTCTCCGCCGCTCTTAGGCTACCCGCGTGGACCACGAAACGTGACCGTGAGGATCGAGTTGAATCGCTGCTCAAGAAACTTGGCCTTACAAGTGTGGCGGACTCGAAGGTTCGTCAGTCCTGCCAATTGTTATCCTTGCTTTTCTCCATGTCCTGTAGTCCTCATCATCTTTTTGCCTCTTCCCTCCCTCATACTTTTGCTCGCTCCCCGCCCTCCGCCTTCCTACTTACACGATCTCGCCCTCCTGTTTCCCATTTTTCTCTACTTGCAGGTTGGCGACGAGTCCACGCGTGGCATTTCAGGTGGCGAGCGAAAGCGCACAAACATTGGGATAGAGTTGATCACAGAACCGTGCGTAATCTTCCTTGACGAACCAACCACTGGCTTGGACGCTCACACAGCCATGGTTGTTATGCAAGTATTGAAACGGTATGTCCCCATATAGATTCTACTCCGGCATTTGACAGACTTCTTTCTTTTGGGTGAGACCATAACGATCGCTTAGTTGAGAGGATAAAAGTCATTTTTTTCTGACAATAAACGCAATCGTAGCTGCCAAGTCATGATATCTGTGAGTGGTGACGATTACGACAAAGCAGCCCACTGCTAGAGTAGTAAGCCTTTAAATCGCATGAAACATTCAGATAGCGTTTTTTGTTTGAGCCACGTTGACTTGGGTAAGGAAATAGTTGCTGCATATCTACAAACAAGTTTAGATCTAGTACGAATTATTTCAATCCCATCTGTCAAAAAACAGAGCTTCCAAACTTATCCGACATGTCCCCGACAATGTTCTGAAACTACCTTTGAGCACTTGCGCAGGCTGCTCAGACGCAGAAGCAGCTCTTGAGTTTTCAGAGTTTGGCCTTTGACCCCAGGCTCTTGACAGGGTATAAACAACATTTTTAATTTGTGAATTTAAGATAAGTGCTGCGACAGTCAACTTGTTAATTTGGGCCATCTTCACCGACGATGCTATGGTGGACTGGAAGACACTAACAGATGGTTGTATAGATCGTCCGAGAAGGAGAGGAAATGCACTGTACTGGTGAATTTCATGGCTTCCGTGTCCCCTTGACCTGGCATTTTTGGAAACAGCCAGGACCAAAATGCCCTGAGCGTTGGACGCCAACGGTTGACGAGCTGTCGCAAATGTTCTTAGAAGGGCACTTCGTCTCCTTGCTGACAACATGTCTAGGGCTGAAAAGTACACGTCATAAATTATAAAACATAGGTAGAAATGCCTTAAGTACAACAGATTAAGTAAATTGGATTGCAGAATTGAAAGGCGTACAGCGTAATGCTGCGTTACTCCTGACACCGTGACGGTCTTAATGGGAAACCCTCCTGCGAAGTAGCAGTCACTTGCGCGGTTTATTCCGCAATTGCTTTACCCTGCTTATAAGGTCGTTAATTTTTGCTAGCGAGGATTGCCAGCAATTTCGGTCCTAATGGTTCCTTGTAGGAAATCACATAATCTAATCACGTTCTTACACATATTAAATATTTCGACATTAAGAAATTCAGTAATTCATGTATCTTTTGAAATAACCGAAGTTCGTAGGTTCTTTCGGTTTACCGTCTATTTACTATTCACTTTTCTGGGGGAGTTTTTCATTCCGTTTTATAATGTTTTCGTGAGATGTCCTGACATAAACAAAATTTTGGGATGTGTGTGA